CATGAAAGAGATATGCTATACGTGGTGAAACATGAAAGAGATATGCTATACGTGGTGAAACATGAGAGAGTCAGCTATACGTGGCGAAACATGAAAGAGATATGCTATACGTGGTGAAACATGAAAGAGACATGCTATACGTGGTGAAACATGAAAGAGATATGCTATACGTGGTTAAACATGAAAGAGATATGCTATACGTGGTGAAACATGAGAGAGTCAGCTATACGTGGTGAAACATGAAAGAGATATGCTATACGTAGTGAAACATGAAAGAGATATGCTGTACGTGGTGAAACATGAAAGAGATATGCTATACGTGGTGAAACATGAAAGAGATATGCTATACGTGGTTAAACATGAAAGAGATATGCTATACGTGGTGAAATCTGAAGTTACTGTATGTGATGAAATATCGTGTTGACATTGCTTTGTTCCAAGTCATGTCCCTATACGGGTTATATAGATACGAGTGCCACAACAATATCCATAAGCATAAGCGATATATCAGCATAAGACGAAATATTTAAACAAATCAATAATCATATATTAATGGTCAAATAAATAAAACCTACCTGTTTCAAAAAAGATTAACGTGTGTAGTAAATAAAAGCGACAAAACCGTTTCCATAGCCACAAGAAATCTCCCTGAGTCCATTGTTCGATTCCGACTATATCATAAACACGAATTCAAGAATCACTATCAAATAATGATGATAGCACATGTTCACTAAAATGTGAGTATATCCACATGCCACAAATACATGCAAAGGCAAGCCAATTATTAACCTAAAAAACCCCACATGAACACATATGGTACAAGTTGAAATAGGTCATTGGATCAGTCACCATTTTGACAGTCATGCCTCAAATTTGGAAATGTCCTATACATGTCCATCATGAAAACGACCGCCTCCGTGGTCTAGTGGTAAAGCGTCCTCCCGGCGAGCGGAAGGTCCGGGGTTCGATCCCCGGCCGCGTCATACCAAAAGACGTTTAAAGAAGGTACTTGTTGTTACCCTGTTTGGTGCTCGGCATCAAGGCGTTAAAACAAGGACTGGTCGGCTCGGAGTCAGTAAACTGTGTCTGAGTGCATGTTAATATGCGGCATGGTATATCAGTGGGCTAGTACTATAAATCAGCATCAGTTCGGACTAGTCTACTAGCCTAGACTAGACTAGCCACACACGCACACAGGTGCATGCACGTCGATATATAAGTGCAATAATATTGGACGTGACGTTTAACCCCATTTCACCTCAGTATCATGAAAACAGAGATTAATGAGAAACCCACGCCTTATGTAATATATCAGATTTGTTTTAACCTTGTATTACACTGCCGTGCAAAATAAAGTATACACCCATGTTTGAAACAAACAAGACATGGTTATTCCATGGTGATGTATTACGGGTATAATAGTTTTATAACAATGTGTTTTGGACATTACGTCTGTCGTGTTTCGGGAACTGTTTTCAGCCTAGTAACATTGGTAAAATCCAATTTCAAATGTATACTTTCTTTTGCCCGGCAGTTTATAAGTTTTGATTCCACTTGATTTATTTCCTTGAAACACTAAATGATGCGGAGGATGCTGAAAGATGTTTCCTTATTGTGTGTAGCCATGTAGTCACACAACCAATCGCCATCCGTGGAGCCGAGATGAACAATCACTTAGTTTCATATCTGAATTGTTGAGTCACTCGAGATCTCTGTGTTCCGTGCTTAAGTCCCACGCTTGGTAATGTTATGTTCAGATCCCACGCAAGTTTATGTCATATTCAAACTGGACTTTTTGTTCTCTCCTTTTGATTTGATTTGAGTGTTCGGACGTTGCAATGAAATCCTCCAGTGCTCTGGCAAGTCTTCTCGTCGAATACTGAAATAAAGTTAGATATAATTTAATATATGTTTTGTCTGTTTAAGAATGAATGGATGATTGATATTGATTTATAGCATATACATTAACAGTATTCCAGTTATATGCCGGCATGTCAGCTTAATGTGGGAGGAAAGCCCGAAGTGATCAAGGTCTGAGATGTTTACCACTTTGGTAAAATCCACGAACGGTATGGTGCTGTCAAACCTAGAAACATAATCAGGGCAAACCGGGATTCGAACCCACGATCATAGGTTTCTGGTGTGCCCAAGGAACGCAACTCTGCACAGCGATTTCGACGCCTAAGACAACTTGGCCACCCGTACCCCTGACTGTTTTTCGGTTAGTTAAAGTTAGGCGTCGTTTCCATGAGTATTACTGCTCATAAATGTGTTGTAGTTTTTTTCATTTTTGTGAATCAACGATCGAGGGCCCGGTTCAATAGATCATAGATCATAACTATAATTAACGCAGGATTCGAACCCACATTCACCGGATACAGGTAGATAATGAACCTCGAAAACACACATCCCAATACACACATCCATTGCCCTCTCCCTTTTCAAGTAAAGAAATAAATACACACACAATTGTTCAGACAAATCAATATATATGTTCACAACTTGAATTTAAGCATTTCCTATTCACAGCTAAGGAAGCGTTAACGTAGGTCTTTATATCTGCCAAGAGCCATATGTACAAGGCTTGAAAAGACGCGAGTGAGTGAATATTGAGTGAGTGTGGTTTCACGCTGCCTTCAGCGATCTTCCAGCAATATCACACATGGTCCCCACGTAGGGCCTTCACCATGACGACCGATGCTTCATCCAGTACCAATTGCAGTTATATGGCGGCGGTCAGAAAATAATCAAGTCTGGACCAGACAGTCCAGTGGTTGATATCATGAACATCGATCTATGCAATTGGGATATCATGACATGCATCAAACAAGTCAGCGAGTCTGACCACCCCATCCCGTTAGTCGCCTCTAAGGTCAAGCATTGTCGCCTCTTACACAAGCATGGGAAGATCAACTCTATCCCGGACTTTTAATTAAATATATAGTGTCACTTCATTATTATATATGTTTTCTGGTATGTGTCATTCGAAGTATGACTTGTAATATAGAGAAATCATAAAATGTGGTATCATTTGATTTTAGTCTTAGATGGAGCATTGATAAGTATGTTTTAGGGTGGTACATCCTGTACCGAGAATTAGAGTATGTGAGTGTGGTTTTACGCCGCTTAGCAATATTCCAGCAATATCACGGGGGACAGCAGAAATAGGTTTCACACATTGTACCAATGTCCGGAAACGAACAAGGGTTTTTCGGCGTGACGAGCGAACGCTTTAACCACAAGGCTACCCCGAGAATTAGATGATGTATAGACCGTAATATATGGTAGATGTGGTGTCCCTTGTACTTTGCATTACATGAAGGCAGAGATGTTACATATTGCATATCTGTTATAAGAATTAAATGAAGCATATATATATATTAGATGAAGCGTAACATGTGAAATATTACATTGTATCTTACATGATTGTAACGTCTAACACTGACACCCTGAGTGTCATATATATATTTTTACAGGATTGTAACGTGTAACACTGATCCCCTGAGTGTCATATATATATTTTTACAGGGTTGTAACGTGTAACACTGACACCCTGAGTGTCATATATATATTTTTACAGGGTTGTAACGTGTAACACTGATCCCCTGAGTGTCATATATATATTTTTACAGGGTTGTAACGTGTAACACTGACACCCTGAGTGTCATATATATATTTTTACAGGGTTGTAACGTGTAACACTGATCCCCTGAGTGTCATATATATATTTTTACAGGGTTGTAACGTGTAACACTGACACCCTGAGTGTCATATATATATTTTTACAGGGTTGTAACGTGTAACACTGATCCCCTGAGTGTCATATATATATTTTTACAGGGTTGTAACGTGTAACACTGACACCCTGAGTGTCATATATATATTTTTACAGGGTTGTAACGTGTAACACTGATCCCCTGAGTGTCATATATATATTTTTACAGGGTTGTAACGTGTAACACTGACACCCTGAGTGTCATATATATATTTTTACAGGGTTGTAACGTGTAACACTGATCCCCTGAGTGTCATATATATATTTTTACAGGGTTGTAACGTGTAACACTGACACCCTGAGTGTCATATATATATTTTTACAGGGTTGTAACGTGTAACACTGATCCCCTGAGTGTCATATATATATTTTTACAGGATGTTAACGTGTAACACTGATCCCCTGAGTGTCATAACACGTTAACATAGTAAGACTCAATATATATATATATATATATATATTTTTTTTGAATCATACCAGGATGTTAACGTGTGACATTGATGCCCTGAGCGTCATATATTTAGTGTGTCTTTCCAGAGGTTAAACATTGTTTGCTTCTTTGGACCCATCATACACTATTTAACAAAATCGTTTTCATATACATTTTTCATCTTTCCGCTCTCATTATTTCGGAAACATTCTGTTACATATCTATACACGGCATTATAGCGTTCAATACAAGTATTCATAATTTGTTCGATCTACAATCGTCGGTTACATTGCACAATAAATAGGTTTTTGTTATATATAGACAATAGCATTTACGACATGTGTATGACGATTTCATACAGCCACGGCGTTACGATGAGTTTGTTAACGTTTTGCTGAATCGCTATTTACCAAGCGTTATTATTATTCGAAGCTCATGAGTGGGAATATCAATTGTGATTTTGCATTTTGACATGTTAAAAAAATTCGTAATAAACCAGTCATCAGATAATGATCCTCACTCACTCACTCACTCACTCTTATTAAGTCAATGCATACGTGCGTAAGTGTAACGGATGATATCACAGAGACTCTCAACCCGACCGACACACTGTGCCCCTCCCCCCACCCCTAACCACCTTAATCACCCCGGGTGGCGGGCACGTCCACCTAGTCCTGAGTTAGCTTCGCCCCCACCTCCCCGTGGGTGCACGGCCGTGTGTGGCGATTGGTCTAGTTTTCCTGTCAGTCACTCGGGATCATTTCCTTTGCCTGTATTGTCGTGATAAGTCTTACTTCCGCCATCGCGACCGCTCGCTCCACGCTTACGACCTTCTTGTAGGCCGCTCATGCCCCACACCACCGGCTAATTGTTACCCATCTACAGTGACTGTTCGCTCTCCTTCGAGGCTTGCCACATTCACACCACTTTAATTCTGCTCAAAACAAAAATGGTAAGTCTGCGGTTCTAGGTGCTTAAAACAAGACGACCAACTGTTGCTTTGGCGCTGTGACAGTTGTAATATGAAGTGGCGCTTGCTTTATTTCCCGATGGAACTCTCATACGTAGGAAATGAGAAATTACACTGGCTCATGGCAAGCCGTTATCGAGCACTTCCTAAAGGGAACTCGACAGACGATACAACCCCACACCAGTGCGAAGTCTCCCGATTCCAGCACATGTTGGCTCCCGACTCGACGCATTACCCACACATTTGTTTACAATATTTCTATCCATTATTCTCTAAGTTCAGAAAGTAGACAAAGTTTCAGCACCCGCCTCGTATTGGGAATCAACACAGGCGCGGCCCCCGCGAGTATTTACTTTTCCTGTGTTGAATTACTCTAGGTTTGTGTCTTTCAGGATGTCCCACTGGCCGGAGGAGGGACTGCCCAATTGCAGGACACAGTCCAGGGGGACACTGACCACTACAGCACGGAATCAAGCAGGCTTGGACCCTCTCCGTACCAAGATACCCTTGGTGTAGCTGATCCCCACGCGCCTCATCTAGTCCTACCCCCAGTGTCAGTCCCCACCCCCCAGCATCTGCCTCTGCATCAGGCAGTAGAGACCCAGGCACACATGGGTGTGTCTTCTCTAGACAACAGGTCCTCGCCAATTAAGACGGAACCAGAGTTGACCAACAGAGAAACATGGACGTCATATGCGTCTGCTGTTTGTGACGTTACAGATTCGGCATCTTTGACGATGAAGTCTGCGTTTGACCCCCCACCACAGTATTCTGAAGCTCAGATCTCGGTTTACTCTGCAATCAACCACCCCGTGAGGTCGCCACACCTTATAGACCCAATGATGCCCCAGCCCCAAGATGGGGAGGACTTACCCCCTTATGACAACACAGGTCTTGTGCACCAGACTCCCTCCCCGAGTCTGTATGCGGGATACAGGGGTAACAAGTTGGAAGAACCACACAACCTGTCACGTGCTCGAGTGTCTCCAGACCCCAATACGCATCACCAACAGCAGCAGCAGCAGCAGCAGCAACAACACCATCATCAACAGCACCAACACCACCAGCAACAACAGCAGCAACATCCGCAGCAGCAACAACAGCACGACAAAAAAGTTATCGTTCCTGCAGGTGAGATAATATTTATCTACTCCCTGGGGAGTATACAGCCACCCATGGAAAAAACACGGGTTACTACTGTGTTGTAGCAATTGAAATATGGCGATTAAAAATAACTAAATAAGTACGGACCGATTTATATTATAATTTTAATCCAACTTGCATTAAAGCTAAATTTACAATCGTGAAATAATTTAATTTCGAATATCAATTTTAATAAATCATAACCTATACCTTGTCTCGGTATTGCATTAATATAATATCATCCAAAGGAATGGACTACAGTCATAAGAGTTCTAAAGAAATTAAATTAATTAAACAATATAAACAACCGTAGTTGGTGTGAATAGTAGAGACAGTATACAAGAGTCACCTATTTAATACAACATCTTTGTAACGTATATTCAGTTATGAAACATGTTTCGGCCGTGAAATATGATAAACAAAACGTATATAAAAAAATTCGTCAACAATATTCTATTTGTAACCCAGTCATGTTCGTGAACATAAATTATTATTTATAAAAAACAGAATACTGCATATGATGATTTTGATAGTTAATTGCATTTACTTAATCTTTACATATTATCAGTCACTCAGAGTCATTTGTATTGCTAAGCGATATAGTGATTCTAAACATTAGTGAAATAAATAAGAACTCATTAAATTAACATTTACTATTCTGTATATGTATAATTGATCATCATCTGGATATATTATGAATACTATTAACTCGAGTAAGGTATGAAATAAGATATTATAGGTGATTTAATAGAACAAACCCATTGTAAAGATTTCGGTGAAGGAAATTTGAAGGATGGGTAATATTGTTTCTGGGACAGAGCCACATGTGTGGAGCGAGTAAGTGAAATGAACTCAAAGCCTTCACCATATGCACACACGTTATAATGCCATCCCGCTCACGGCATATTGAAGCCATCATCCACTAGATATAACACTATTGTTAGGGAACAATGAAATGTCTATCATTTTGCTTGTCGGGGGATGAAGCAAAACTTGTCGAGATGAAGTGTGTATTTCTCCAAGTTTCAACATGGTAGAAACTATGTACTGGATTAACACAAGCCGGCGTGTATCATCAAAGTACCTATTTCCTGTGTTCGACCAACTCAGCATATATAGGTCACTTTTTGCCAGCAACATCATCATTTTCTCAGACTAAAACTCGGTGAAACCAGTAATTACTTGTGCAGTCTGGACCAGCATTACTGGCGTAACAATTAAACAAGCAGACTCAACCAATATACTTACTTATTATCTAGTTTGATATAGTCAGAGTCTTAAATGATAATAAAGTTAACTTTTTCTCTAAATGTTATTTATATATGTTGTGAGAATAAATTCCCGTTGTTATGAATACAATGATATATTTAGGTGTATGTATTTATTGTTGCATCGATATTTGAATATTTTTATTTCGTTTGTTTATTATGACGTGATATACATTCCGACGGGTTCCTTTCTTGTTACAGAGATACAAATATAAATACTTTGAAGGCAGTAGCGGTTTATGTAATCTCTACAACAAATACAAAACGAAATTTGAACTCATGGGACGTTATAAAATGCACTGAAGACATATCTATTGCGTCTTTATCCATAATGTATTTAATTATATTGATCTAGGTAATATTCTGTTTTCTATGAAAGTGTGAACATGTTAAAACGTGAAGTAAAATCAATAAACTTTTAAAAAGGGACAACTGAGATAACATGATTTTTAATATTTTCCCAACATCTAAAGATATAATTGCTTTGGATTTTCAAGCCATAATTTGAACTTGTTCTCATAACCAACTATCGTCAACAAAGTATCATTTCAAGATATAATATACGATATCCCATAATTGGATGTGACAACCCTTGCCTGCGTTAATTATATTGTTGACTTAATGTACGAACCCCATGATACAGATTGCGAACAGTCATGTGGTTGAATGACGTTTCGTAGTTTTTTCAAACTAAACATAATCATTTTATCATTTTGAAAAAACCCTTTATATACTTAAAATAGATAAAATGATTTTGAAAATGTCATCAGAAAAGGAATCTTAACGCCACCACATAACCTGATAACCACATGTCTATATCATGGATCAGTCTGTCATACAGACCCTGAAACAAATATATCCAATACAGCCCATGCAAAAGGAAGAGAATATATGGACGTCAACTTCTTTATTATGAGGAACACAACGTTTCGGAGTATGTGCTTACTCCTTTATCAGGTGAATGAATGCCATGAGACAGAGAGCATATATATGTACATGTAAGTCCATGCAAGTCTATAATATATGACAAGTTAAGATTACTGCAGTATCTGGAAATGAAGAAGGCTCCTTTTTATTATATTTTATAACTATAATTTTAATTTATAAACTGTTTTTCTGTAATATGTGTTCATTTCAGAGATTAGATGTTAGTCTAGTCAGAGATGAAGAATTCAGTTATGTTAAGCAAAAATAAGGTTGAATACATTATTTTTCTACAATATTGTCTTGCTGTGTGAATAGGACGCGGTAACACGCGTGACACACATCTGAAATTAATTCAAGAATATTGCTTTTTGTATTTGTCCAAAGATAAGGAACACATATTCTTGAGGAATCAGAAGCCAAGATTTCAAGTGTAGCATTTATTTCTGTAAACAAACACCTTCGAAAAGAAATGCAAAAATCGAAAAGTACAATGAAGGAATAAACATTTTCGGACACTGCTTTAATCATTCTTCACTGTCGACATACATTTATTAAATCCTTTGTTGACTGTTTACAGTATGTTGTCCAACACATGCAGAGTATTTTGATGGAGGAATGTTTGCGCTGGATAGTCAAAACTAATTATATAGAAACTGATTTACGAAATGCATCGTCCGTATCCTTAATGCATAACATATTTTTGAATAATTGATAACCTTAACATATAGGATGTCTTCTTGTCACACGTAGAGGCTCCGAGTCGAATCAATAGGTAGAATAGACATGTTATCAATTATTAAATGTTTTATAATACACATCATTTTCTCTAATATGGTCATTATATTTTTTACCACGTATAAATGTACATGCAAATTATGTTTCCTGTTTACTTATCCTCTTAAAGGAGCATATCGTCCATGACTTTTATTTTACCAGTTGATAAAATGGCACAACATATACTAAGGTGTCGGTACCCTATTTCTTTCATATGCATTATCACTAATATAGTAATTTTTTATTCTTTACCATACACATTTACTCGGGTGTATATGTCGTATTTCTATCATGCATTATCACTAATCTAGTCAATTTTAATCTTTACCATACACATGTACAAGGCTTTATGTACCGTATTTCTTTCATATGCATTATCACTAATATAATCATTTTTAATCTTTACCATACACATTAACTCGGGTGTATATGTCGTATTTCTATCATGCATTATCACTAATCTAGTCATTTTTAATCTTTACCATACACATGTACAAGGCTATATGTACCGTATTTCTTTCATATGCATTATCACTAATATATAATCATTTTTAATCTTTACCATACACATTAACTCGGGTGTATATGTCGTATTTCTATCATGCATTATCACTAATCTAGTCATTTTTAATCTTTACCATACACATGTACAAGGCTATATGTACCGTATTTCTTTCATATGCATTATCACTAATATATAATCATTTTTAATCTTTACCATACACATTAACTCGGGTGTATATGTCGTATTTCTATCATGCATTATCACTAATCTAGTCATTTTTAATCTTTACCATACACATGTACAAGGCTTTATGTACCGTATTTCTTTCATATGCATTATCACTAATATATAATCATTTTTAATCTTTACCATACACATTAACTCGGGTGTATATGTCGTATTTCTATCATGCATTATCACTAATCTAGTCATTTTTAATCTTTACCATACACATGTACAAGGCTATATGTACCGTATTTCTTTCATATGCATTATCACTAATATATAATCATTTTTAATCTTTACCATACACATTAACTCGGGTGTATATGTCGTATTTCTATCATGCATTATCACTAATCTAGTCATTTTTAATCTTAACCATACACATGTACAAGGCTTTATGTACCGTATTTTTTTCATATGCATTATCACTAATATATAATCATTTTTAATCATTACCATACACATTTACTCGGGTGTATATGTCGTATTTCTATCATGCATTATCACTAATCTAGTCATTTTTAATCTTTACCATACACATGGATGAGGATTTTTGTTCCCTTATCATTAACAACTAGTTGATCGTTCTCCTTACTTGATGCCACGACGTGACTTGCACTGGTTACATTAAATCAGAGTAGGTTATCCCGGTGCAGAAAGCTCGGAAACTGCCTTCTATAGCAAATTAAACGACTTGTTAACACAATGAAAGACTACACTGCCAGTACTGGACTTCTGTGATAAACGATACTTTGGCTGATATGGTAATACTGGTTGCATGTCAAAGAGATGGTTGATAAAGGGGCAACTTGTGGAGCATGTACATTTATTGACTAAACAGGACTGCATCGAAAGCACTCATTTGTGTTAAAACGTTCTGAATTTTTACCCTATGAAGTTAATAATTAATTTCAGTGATCCGTTCAAATATCTTTCACCTTCAAATTTGCCTTTTGCGTCCAATGGAATCTGCTTTGGCAGATAATCGAGACTAGTTATTCTCTGCGCTTTTTATATACTTAATATATTAATAAAAGCTCCTATTTCTGTTTAACGTGTTTGTGGTTATACATATTGATGTTTTTTTTAATAACGCTTAATTGGTTTAACATAAACATGGAAATAAACGTTTTGTTACAACATGTAAATAGCTTTCATACATCCGTTTTGAAATAGGCAACGATAAGAAACATTCTTACATTTTATAGATAGTTTTTACTGCACACGTAAATCTTTTTTGAAATAGGTAGGTTTTTTCTATCTGAATGTTAATATATGTTTAGACTATT